AAAGGGAAGAGACCACAGGCAGCACCAACACAAGAACAACCAGTGGTATATGCATCAGTTAACAACAAAGTAATGATAATGTACATGTACATGTAATGGTATCTTATACATCCTCTCTCTCTCCTCCTAGTCTGTTCCTCCTCCCATTCCTCCTCCAGCTGCTCCTCATAAAGTATTGTATGCTGATCTATCAATAGCAGCTGGTAAGAGAACACCAAAGAATAAACCACCCACTGAGGAAAGAGTAGTCCATGCAGCAGTCAATGGAAATGTAAGCCAATACACATTATACTGTATGGAGTAACAACCCCTTTATCTCTCTCCCCCCTCCCTCTCTCTCCCCCTCTCCTCCAGAGGAAGTTCACTACTCAAGAGCTGATCATGGATAGGTTAGGTGGTCTGGACATTCCTCCTCCAATACCACCAAAACCAAAACCTTGAAACCAACACAAAGACATCAATCCTCCCTGTCTCCAGTAGTATAGAATGGACATACTTATTGTGAAACAATTAACTCTATCTTGTATTCTCTCTCTCTGTCTTTCATTATAATGTCATGGGTATATAGTGTATATTCTTTCGTAAGTTTTAGTTCATTCTAATCAACAGAACCAACAATGTATAAAGTATTACAAAGTTCTAGTTAACGACAGCATTTAATGGTTACTGTAGTACAGGAACTTTTGTCCCATTTCGGAGCAACTTTAAAAATCATAAAAAATCCAAACTTGATCGAAATCAGCTCAATCTTTCTACACTGCTTAAGTACATGAATATGCATCAGAAAATGTAGTAAAATTGAGGAATTTTCTACTTGTCAATTTTTGTGAAATTTTACAAAAATCCCTGTACTATAATAGTACAGGGGCTGTTGTCTGATTTTGGAGCAATTTAAAAAATATTAGAAAATCCAAACTTGATTGTAATCAGCTCAAACTTTCTAAACAGCATAAGTACATCTATATCCATTCGAAAAAGAAATAAAATTGAGGAATTTTCTACTTATCAATTTTTATAAAATTTTATAAAAATCCCTGCACTATAGTACAGGCTGGGACTTTTGTCCGATTTTGGAGCAACTTTAAAAAATCACAAAAAACCTAAACTTGATCAGAATCAGCTCAAACTTTCTACACAGCATCAATACATGTATATACATCAGAAAATGTAATAAAATTGAGGATTTTCTACTTGTCAATTTTTGTGAAATTTTACAAAAATCCCTGTACTATAGTACAGGGGCTTTTGTCCAATTTTAGAGCAACTTTAAAAATCATAAAAAATCCAAACTTGATCAGAATTGTCTAAAATTTTCTACACAGCTTAAGTACATGTATATGCATCAAAAAATGTAATAAAATTGATGGATTTCCTACTTGTCAATTTTTGTGAAATTATACAAAAATCCTACAGGGACTGTTGTCTGATTTTGGAGCAACTTAAAGAAATCATAGAAAATCCAAACTTGATCAGAATCTGCTCAAACTTTCTACACAACATAAGTACATGTACCAGAAATTGTAATGAAATTGAGGAATTTTCTACTTGTTGATAACTGTGATGTGTCTGTGTTTAGCTTTGAGTAGCAAACACTTTTGATTCTTTTACTTCTTGAAAAATGAGGAAAGGTTACCTTTTGGATCGAGATAATGATTGAGAGCAAGAGTAGATAATAATGATTATCTACTCTTGTCGAGAGTAATAAATAACATGCTCCTCGGCCAGTAATATGATGGCTAGGGGTACGTGAGTGTGTCTGGTTACTTAATTTAAATGTGCTATTGAAGGTGTGGCTGTCACTGGCTGATTTGCTTTGATTTTGAGATGGTTTGCTTTAGAATGTCCTAGAGAGAGAGAGAACTTACTGGTTCAAAAGATTCTTTCTCTCACTTTCCCCTGGCCTCTAAGAGATGTAAGGTGTAGCTTCATTCTTGAAACATAATTCATGCAACCCCTATTATCTATTATGCGCATTGATTAGAAATAGATATTTGAGTTGATTGCTGTCTTTTTGTGATAAAGGACTGGCAGGGAATGCAAACATTGACAATACCAGTAATAGTGTCAATTGAGAAAATCATACCATTATCAATGTAATGTAAAGTGTACATGTTCTTTTCACATTTATTATTAACATTGCTTAATCCTTGTAGACTCAACAGAGTAACCTGAGAGCAAAAATGTGGTTCAGCAAGCAATTTTATGTTTGAGCTCTTTTTCATAATTACTGTTTGATTTATGAACAAGTGGAAGTACAATGAAATCAGTACTACTCATGTGCAGCTTACACCCACGCAAATAATTGGATTCATTCCTGTCTCTAATGGCATATCTACTTATCTTTACAGCCATCTTCTTTCTTGACAGGAGACACGCCTACTATAGGCGGGGTGGTGATCATAATGATGATGTGAAGATATTCCATAGATGTATCAAACTATTAATATCTGTACAAACTATCATTTTTAGTATGTATAATGGTGCATCCATTTATGTATGTATATCTATAGCATGTATCCAATGGGAGAGAAAGCTGTCTATAATACTTATATGCTTTGGCACTGTTCACACCCCACAGTACCTATCACTGGTCTATTAACTGGACTCAATTATATCAATAATTACTAGTATCATTGTATACTGTATAATGAAGAATAGAGGGAATAAACAACAAACAGTGCGAGGAGCAGCAATATAATAATTTACCAATAATTAATAAACAACAAAAACAAGATAATGCACACACTAATACTGCTTATGGACATATTTATTATTGATTATGGTAACTGTTGTAAATTAACATCAGACAACTAGAAATGATACTAAGTAAATTGTATCTAAAAGACCACAACATACAATGACTAGCAGCTTTTAAAATTATGTTTGTTTGTTTATAGATCAGAAAACACATCAGCTTCTTTTTCCTCAAGCATTTCTTCTCCATCAAATGGCAGTCTTTTTGTCACTTAGTCAGAAATGCAAAGGAAATTTATAATGGCAGTGTTTAAATTATAATTTTATTTAAAATGTCAAGTTATTTCTAAAATAAAACATCATTACGCTTGCAAAAATCCCATGCCTACTTCACTAAATTTGGGAATGTAGTTGAGTAAAAATGATGCAGGTGATAAAAAGGTTAAACAATTAGTGGAAAATTTGGAAAATTTACAATTTTGTTTTAATAAACCTAATAATCTGATAATAAAATAGACACAGTACATACCTTTGGCTAAGCAATCACAAAATACAATAGACCAGAAAGACGCAGCAGGACAGAAACAGCGTAGTCTTTCAAATACAATAAACACAAGAAGTGATCCAAATAAAAACCCAAAAGTTACAGATGTAGCAATGTATGCAGCATTATCAGCAGATGCAGACACACTAGGAGATTCAGAAGGAGAAACAATATCAGTAGTCATTGCTGTCTGTGTAGTTGTAGTGTCAGGCATAGTTGTTGCTGTAGGCTGTGTCGATGCTGTAGGCTGTGTATATACTGTAGGTTGTGTATATACTGTAGGTTGTGTTGATA